TAACAATAGTTTAGGGGATATTCCTTCAGCTCAACAAGGACCACACAAGCTTTGCTTTCCATGCACCGTTACTGATGCGTTAATTTCAGATTAGCGTAGAACAATATTTTGATGGTACGACAAGATTTTTTTTTTTTGAATGACGTATTTGATGCACAATAGTCATCGGATCTTCAATTTTCTGGGAGCCCATAATGTTTCTGGTATCAAGTTTAGAAATACCAACCAAAATGTTGCTGATCTTCGGTTGAGATTACTTCCTCCAGTGCCAGATCCAGCAAGAGCAGGACCAATATTTGTCCCATTTTCTTTTTTGTGCGCAGGTTTAGCGTGAGAAGCTCCATAATCTACCAGCACAAAGGGGAAAGGACTAAATTAAATAAATGGCTAAAGAAGTGCTACGGAAGCCTTTTCAAGTAATATAAAAAAGTAGCAATGGTCCACATACTGTAGGAGCTATTCTGGTTGGAACTAGCACGTCCCCCACGATCAGTGCCACCTCTAGCTCCATGATGTTGGTTGATACTCACAGATCGTGACCTGGAGTCTGGGGTGTCTTTTGTCTAAAGAAAGAAGGTAAAACAAATGGATAAGAAGGATTAAACAGAGCAATTCAAGTGATATGAAAAAGAATTTTGCTTTCAGAATATTGGGAAACTTTTAGCTATGAAGCGGACAACCAAGTAGAGTAAGCCCCATAATATCATTCACAAAATCATCATAACATTATAAAGAAATACCAAGACCGTAAAATAACTACGACGCGACAACAAGGATCCGATACTTTATCAGAGAATAACCTTGAAATCAGGCAAAACTTCAAGAGGCTCGCTTATATATTGGCAAAATAGCATATGAGTCCTTTATGTTTGGAAGTCATCAGCGGGAGTCCCTAACATTACCTCCGCCATCAGCCCAGAACCTTTTTTACAAACTTTTGTTAAATCTTACGATGAGTCAGTGAGGTGGGGGCAGCTGGTCAGCAAAAAAGTTAATAAATTACAGGGTTGTCCTGCTACATCACTGACACCTCAGCAGTTTAAAACTTTAAATATAATTTTGTAAAATGGAGCTATGCTGATGATAGAGGTAAGGTTAGGGACCTCAACTGATGATTTCCAAACATAAAGGAGTTAGATGATATACAATGAATACTTGAGGGACCACCACTGAACTATTGCCTTGAAAATAAGTAAATCCAAGAACTTGGCTCTAATTTAAAATTCCCTACAGTAATTTAATGTGGACATCAGAAATAGAGCCAAGTGTTGTCCAGTAATTATGTCAAGTTGAAGTACAACCAGTCTTCATGCTACGAAGAATAAAACAAATTTGGAAGTACAGGTAAACTAATATATAAGTAAAAAAATCAATAATTCACCCTTAGTGACTGGGCATCTGGGACTTAAATATTTGTTGCGAAATAAAATTTCAAAACATGCTAACCTCCTTTTTCTTCTCCCGTTTGCTCTTCACCTCATGAAAAGCATCTACACATTAAGAATCCTTGAATTAGACTTTCAGTTATCAAAGCATAAGATCTCAGGTATTGCCAAAATATGCAAGTGATATAGACAGCAAAGCAATCAAATAACAGCAGGAAAGATGTTTTATCAATTAACACCATCTATAAGCAGCATTTGCTATCCAAAAAATAAGGCACGACAAAGAGAAAAGAGATATATCATATTAGCAACTTAACTTAATAATGGTTCAAATCTAATATATGAAAAGGAAATAAACTATAGATTTGAAGCAAAAGAGCTACTGATAACAAACAAACAGAGAAGCGAGGGGAAGAAAATAAAGATAGATATTAACAGCTTAACTTTAAGAACCAAATAATTACTGACAGGTTGATCGAATTCAAAAACCCACCGTTATTATCACTTGATCACATTTTGAATTTTTATTGTCCAGCGTTAAAATATAAATACTATTGAATTATACTTAAGACACTGACCACAAATAGGTATCATCAATTGGTGCAAAAAAAGGAAAAAACACTGTTATGGATTGTGACATAAAGGAAAACACCAAAACAAATTAACTTAAAAATTGAAGAATAAAGAAGTAATGGACAAAGAAGTGAATTAAAGGGAGCAATGTTTTAAATGTTGGATGTCGGGTTCATGTCGGATGGCTAAAATTCATGTCGGGTAGCGAAAATCGGGAATATGTCGGGAGACATGAAAAACATATCGGATTGTCATATCGGATGGCGTGCATATGTGTAATATAAATATCATAAATAAACCTAAACATACTTAATAAATTCTATTGTCTAAACATATAAAAAAGTAAATAACTTATGATACTTAGGGTTGATGTTGAAGGAAAGAAGTGAGATGGTTAAGGAAAGAGAAGATCACTCGATATTAATATCGACGGATCAGCTCGAAGAAGAGACCGATGAGATGTCGAAGGGGAGAGAGAAGATGAGCGATGGAAATGATTTCAATTGTTTTTCTATTTTCCCTAACTGATCAGGTTTTATCTTTGGAAGCTATACTAAGAAATTAATAATTTAAACCCAAACCTGATTAGATATACATAACCAAAAGAACAAAAAGTCAGCCGATTTTTCAGACTGAAAAATCGACCGACACAGCCGACATGTCCCCCGATATATCCGCCTGACATATCGGACATGTCCCACGATATATCCAACATGAACCCTAAAAATGCAATACGCATTGAAAAGCTCCATATCGTGTCGGTCGGCTCCTAAATCCGACATGTCGGCCGACATTTAAAACATTAAAAAGGAGAGCGTGAATTGATGCATAAGTACACTAACAAAGAGAGCAACATCTAATCCAATCAATTCCAAAATGGACCATGACCATCTCATCCTCCTAAAAAAATTCCCTTCCTCTTGTGTACTCTGATCTTAGGTGTACATTATGAATGTATAAAAAGTTGTTGCAGACCACTCAAAGCAGCTATTTTTGAAAGGGAAGACCAATAACTACAGAATAAGTATTAACATCTGTTACAAATCAAAGCAAAAGAACTGCTACAAGAAGGGCCCATCCAATGAAGAAAACATAGGGTGAGTTTCTCTCTTTCTAGATCATTCTGTCCAAGTTCTTCCTATTCTAAGCTTACTACCTCATCAGTACACAACAGAGAGAGTATGATTCATATCCGAATCTAATTTTTCATTGAAAGAGGTCAATTTTAAGTAAAATTGATACTGAACAATAAAAGCAAGTAAAACGGTCGGCTTTTCCTATTATAAAATGGACATAACGAGATCATTTATTCTCTCCCTCAGTATCATTCAGTCCAAGTTTTCAGCTTTTAAAGGAAAGAAGATGCACCGGCAAAAACTTACTAGAAATACTAATGCCTACACAAAAGAAAAAAAGCAACCAAGCAGAACAAATCAATTCAAATTAACTCAATCTAAGTTTATCCAGTTCAAATTCCACTACTATGAACATAAATTGAAAAAAAAAAGGAAAGGAAGTAACAAATAACCAAAACCCACTAAAAAGATCGCATTTTTTCAGGATAGCTCAAATCCAATTAACCAACCAACAACTAATTCAGATTAATTCAATCAAATAACTTAATTTGATTTCCTCCAGTTCAAATTCCACTACTACGAACACGAAAAGACCCCATATGAACCCTGAAATCTACTCAAAATCTTAACGAAGAACCAAAAGACAGTAAAAAGATCCCATTTTTGACACAATCCAAAACGAATTCACCCACCCACAACTAGTTCACACTTCAGCTGTTAAACTAGATAGCATTTAAAAAGCCCTAAATTCACAAAACAAAAAAAAAACAAATTTCTTATCTAGGGCACCTTGAGTCAAGAGACGATGAACAGCCTCACTAGGATCCATATTACACTCTTTAAGCATCGCATAGATCTCGAGCTCTGAGCAGTTCACGATCTCCTTCAAGCTCTGCACAATCTTCCTCGA